TTTTGTTTTCTTTTTTTTTCTGAAAGATCTTCGTATGTAGTTGAATGTAGTAACATTGATTTTGTTTGTAGTAGCGCAGAAAAAAGAATATCACGACTTAAAGAAATGTCATCCCCGACTTTGAAATTAATTACTTTTAAGAATAGTTTCTTATAGAAAATCGTAGTAAAATTATTTCTGTTTGTTGCACCGTTCACGAGATATAATTATTTAAACAATTGTATAAAAATGAATTTTTAATTTTCAAGATAACTCAAATCCGCTTGCGAGACTTGATTCAGAATTGTTTGTAGTTGTTTGTAGTGATTTTCCGTTTGTAGTTGTACTGTTTAAAAGTTACAATAAATTTACAATAAATAAATTACGTAACTTTTGCCAATTTTCGGGATACCTCAAATCCGCTCACGGAAAGAATCATTAACAGAATTAACAAATAATACGCACATTTTATATTAAAAAAAAACAAAATATATAAATACATAAAAAAAAAAGAAAATAAAATATACAAAATCCCCAAAAAATATAAACCGTAATTTAAAACCATTAATTTTAAATAGTTTCAAAAACGCGAGCTTGGCGTAGTAGACAGCGGCTCCTTCGCAATACAAAAGATTTCGGGTACAATCTCCGGTAGAAAATTTTCGTACGCTCGTAACTCCATTTGGAAGACAACAGCAAATCACCGAGTAGTATACTTATCCTAGAAACTTTTCTAAAAATTCGTCGTTCGAAATTGACGTTAAACTGTAGGTCTCATCTTAAAAGAAATCTAGATCCGTTTCCCTCAATAAAAAAATGAGTATTATTGCCTGTCCACATAGTCAATTTTTGATACTGCGCGCATGTTTCTTCAAGCCAGTAAGGATTTGCGTTAGACCAGAATCTACAATTGTGAAGATTAACGTTGCCATTTATATGAAAAGTTGCTTCATCAGCAACACTATGTTTGATAGAAAATCTTCATCTATTCTTTCATCAACTCACAAAATTCGATGCGCCTATAAAAATCATCATTATTTAGCTCTTGCACAATATGGACTTTATAGGGAAATTTACTATTTTTTAATATTTTAAGCACGGACTTTTGATCAATGTCATGTTGCAGAACTACTTTACGACTTGAATCATGCGGATTTTCGATGAAGGATTGTAGAACATCTAATGATTTTTCTGGATTTGTTGCTGACTTTGACCTACCTAATACTGGACAATTTTTAACACTTCCAATTTCGTTGAAACGCCTGATGGAAAGAATAGATGAGATTCCCAATTTTCTATTCAAACATAGTATTTTCTGATGAAGCAATCTTTCAGATAAATGGCGACGTTATTCGGCACAATTGTAGATTCTGTTTTCTCGCAAATCCTCACTGGATTGAAGAAACATGCAGTATCCACAAAAATTAAATGTGTGGACAGGTATAATGCCCTTATTGGTCCATTTTTTATTAAGGGAAACTTAACAACTGCGAAGTATGAGGATATGCTGAGACATGAAATAGTTCCAGCAATGCAGACAATCGTGGGAGACAATTTTGAGAACACATGGTTTCAACAAAATGGTGCTGCACCGTATTATGGAAGGGACGTCCGTCATTATCTTAGCACAATGTTTCCTGAGAGATGGATAGGTAGAAGAGAAGTTATCGAATGACCTCCTAGATCGTCCAATCTAACATCTCTTGATTACTTTCTAGAGGGGGGGGGGTTACTTAACCTCTTAGGCACAATGCGTCACTATAGTGGCTTTCGCGAATGTCATCTTTCTGAACGACGCGTCACTATAGTGGCTCACTCTAGTGGATCACTCGCTCATCGTTTGAATTAAATAATTGTTTTCATATGTTTTGTTTCACACTTTTTTTGCCTTCACAATGTTTTATAACAGTGTTAACAATATACAGACAGAATATCAGTCTTTATTTTTGATACGCCAGTGTCAGGTATGAATTGTTGTTTTTCATTTAAATAAATAGAAAACGAAGAGCAATTTGTTACAATTCAGGAATAGACTCGGAAATCGAGAATGATATAAACAAAAACATGCGTGGTAGGAAGAATATAAAAAACGAAGATCGCGCTATGAGTGTGAAGATTGTGACGTGGGTCTATGTGTCGTACCGTGCTTTAAAATATATCATACTCAATTGTATTATTAATTATTGTATTATAAAGTAAATTGTTAAAGTTAAAGTATGTGTATCATATCTTTAAGAAAAATTATAATTTAATCATCAAAAACTTCATTCCAATGTACTCGCGTAGAGAACAGCATTGTCCGTCACACGTTGCAGTGCTGTATCGTTTACGCATAATTCGCGTTGAACTCTGCCGTACAAAGAAACAGCCCCGCGCAAAATTCAGCCGTGCCTAAGAGGTTAAAAGAAAGACTTTATAATACGAAACCAAATATATATAATTTGGATGAATTACGAAATCAGATTCTTCAGGAAGCTACTCTTATCCTTCATGATTACATTCAAAATGCTGTTTCATCTTTTTACCTTCGGATAGCCTGTTGTCAAACAGTTGACGGTACATTTTGAACAATTGATATAAATCTTCTTACTTACCTTAGTTGGTCACACAAACCTCCGGTTTGTGCGCGCGCGCGCGCACCACACACACACACACACACACACACACACACACACTACATTCCTTTCCACATGCACTTTTATCCACACGTGCCCGCGCAAAGTCTCTCTCACAGTCTTCGTCGTGAGCCCTCCGCTACTGCAAAATCAATGTTTAAATGATCATAACTCTGTGAAAAAAAAATCGTAGAGAGCATGTGTTGTTCTCATCTTGGAAGACTTTCAAACGAGCCCTCACTCGATCCCACATGCAATTTAAGATTTTCCCCCTTCCCCCCCTCCTCCGGGAATGTTAAAATGGGCGTTTTTGATATTAAATGATAGATTTTATGATGCCATTTGCATTCTTATAAACTTTAATCCTCTATCTCGAACCGTTCAGAAGTTATTTAGGTGTCCCGCTACTTCTTCCTCATCCTGTATATACATCAATTTCCGTATATATAACAATTACGTTTTAATTAGACGTCTAAGTTCAATTTTAAGAACTTCACGCTGTTTCTTCATGCAAACTACTAGTCTGTAGATTACTATTTCGTAAGTATAGAAATGAGTACAGATTGTATAATTTTTATATAAAGAAAATGTTGTGATAACTTACGCCATATTGGATTAAGAAATAGTAAATGTTCGAGATACGGCCAACATGTACATAATTTCCATATTTGGCGTTCGTGCGACATACGGATCGAAAGCTTCTAGAAGGATCTCAAGCGTCCTTAGAAGTTTCCAAAACATCTCTATCAAACTCGGCTATCACCTCGTCGATAAAGTCAAAAAACAACAAGCTAAACCGCACGTCGCACGTACGCAAATTTCAACCGTTATAACGGCTAACCAATTCGGATCGGTCGTAGCGCACGCGCGCTTGCGTGACGCAAAACGCGTAATATGCGTTCATCCCAATCAAGAATCCCGATTTAACGGGCGCGCATGGCAATAGCGTGCCGCTTGGCCGTTGAGCGCGAAATCGTCAATCGCCACCCGACACAGAGAATCTCAAAATTTTCAATGTGTAAAAATCTCATAGGCGAATGCAAAGAGAAGCCTTTGTTCTCAAAAGAGCATAAAAGGCAAAACCTTAGAAGCAATACCTCTCTTAACGCTCTTAACACTCTTAACGCTCTTAGTTCTCCGCAACTCTTAGTTCTCCGCAACTCTTAGTTCTCCGCAACTCTTAGTTCTCCGCAACTCTTAGTTCTCCGCAACTCTTAGTTCTCCGCAACTCTTAGTTCTCCGCCGCTCTCAGTTTTTCCGCCGTTCTGAGTCAACTATATCACTTTAAAATTTCACGCCAGCGCTCTCGCTCTGAATCGAACAGTAAAAAAGATCTCAATTTTGAAATTTTTTATTGTTTTCAGCATAGATTCCACAGACATGTATTAATGAGTATATTTTAATCCTGAAAAACCATTTTTGAATCAATAAGAGAGGAAAAAAGTAATTGTTATACAAAAATTCTATGGTTTAGTCGGTAATACAGACGACTTTAGGGTTCTCTTAAAAACCGTCAATCCTGGGCAAATTTTCCATGTCATACAAAAAGATTCTGAAGGAAATTGAAGAACGTTGATTTTATTGACAATTGATTTAAATTTGCGATTATCAACATAAATTTTTGGATATGTCATTAAATTGACGATTTTTTATTTAAATGTTCTATCTAGATACGTATGCATATTCATAATACTATAATACCTTGTATATTGCTGTAAAATTATAATTTCTTTCTCTACAGTCATCTTTGTTGATGATCAAATCCGATTGATAACATAAAAATCTTAATTTTAATTAAAAATCGAATATTATTGAGTTTTAAATATGTGTGCATGTCTACGAAACTAATAAATCATAAAATCAGTACTATATCATCATAATCAGTTTATCATCTTAATCACTTAAGAGTTCAACAGGAACTCTCGTAAAAATATCGGTCATTAATAGTATCTCGTCGGTGTAGGTGGTACGAGTCATCGCATAATGTCATAAAACGTCATATCGGTGGTTTAGAGATTAATAGCACGTTGTGATTCTGCTAATATATTTACGCATGTAATAAGATGATATTGAGGAGACTTTTGTTGTCTCTTTTCAATGAGAAAAATGTGTAATTATATCATCCAGAAGTACAAACTATATCATTCAGAATTCTAATTATCATATGACTGTATTTTTCTGATTATGTTGATTAGAATGTTTAATAGATTTAACTATAAATATCTGATTTATACCTTTCTGATTGAACCTACTAGATTTTCAATTTATATGAATGCATTTTTCTCGTATCTTTTTCTAAGACAAAAAATTATTTTGTATCTTATATTTTACTTAGTAACAGTTGACATGTTACAGACAAATACAAGAAGAATAAAGATTTCAAGTTTTTTTTCAACAATGTCTTACCTGCCGTGGAAGCCCTTATGACAATGGATTCTCCATCCTCCCTCCGCCAGGACACTCTCGGAGGTGGATGTCCTGTCGCGCGACAGCTCAAAGTCGCGTTGTCACCCTCTGCCACTGCCAAATCGGCGCTAGTGTCACCTCCATAAACGATATCGGGCGGCACTACGAGACAAATTTATATCAGTAAGTTTGTAATCTATCCTTCGTCTCTACCGCACGAATACTTTATAAAAATTATTACGTAAAATCGGCACTTTATTGGAACGTCTTTGAAATAACGAGCATTCTCGAGGCGTATTTGTATGATAAGGTCAGGATAGAAAACGTGGGGAGAAAATAGGTAATCGGCTTAAGTAGAATGTTTGAGACGGGAGAGATGGAAAAGTAATTTTATTAAAAAGGTTTTTTGTTATTATTCTGTGGCGTATGTTTTTATTTTTTCGTTTGTTCGTTCAGATAAATTCAAAGATTATGCATATGTGAAATTCCTTGCTCCTTTGCTCGTTCCTTAAATAGACATATAAGTAGGTAACGTTAATGTTATGCATTACTTTTTCGCGAAATTTGCAATATCGTTTTTGATGTTTAGGAAGTCTAATTAAAATTGATATTTTCTGAGAAAGAATATGCAAAGCACGACAAAAAATAAAAGGAATACAATTTGTTAATAAAAATAATTATTATCGTTAGAATTAATATTCTAAAGAATTTTAGAATTACACAAGGAGTCTGTGTATACATATCAAATTCTTAATTACTACATACTAAATTCTCAATTATATTCTTTAATGTGTGTTATTATATTAGTTTAGTACTGTAGGAAAAAGACTGTAGAAAAGAGTTTAGGTATACAGGGTGCGTTAGCTAAATCCGGATAAAATAAACAATTTATTAAAATGCTATTTTATTCAGAAAAAATTTGAAAATACACAAAAAATTTTGTGTACATCTCTTGAGAGATCCTTTCTGAGATCTATTACTTAATATTACCTCCATTTGCTGCGATCATTGCATCGATCTTATGCCTAAAGCGCCAACACGCTCTTTTTAAAACTGGTCCTTGTCTAAATTCAAGAATTCTACCTCAATAGCAGTTTGATAGTCACGTTGGGGATTTGTTACAAAATAATCTAAGATTTAAATTTGGATTGTTGGGAGGCTAGAATTTCTTGGACCAAGATGCGTCCAAGTAGTCGGAAAGCTATTTTTACACTAAATAGCTTGTGTGAGCTGATGCGCCGTTCTGTTGAAAAATGTACGGCGTTCTGGAGGTTTCCATCTATGGTTTCACTACAATCCTCAGAATCCGAATGTAAATTTCCGCGGGAAGAAAGTTCGTGATGGTTTCTTCTTTTTTTAAAAAACAAGGCTGCAGGATGTCATCCTTGGAGACAGCACTTAGAAAGTGAACATTCACTGGAAATTTCATCTTGGTTATTAGGGGGCATCCTGGGGATCATGAGCAAACCAGCAGTCGTTCCTCCGATTTACTTTTGCATCAACAGTAAAAATCTTATCGGAAAAAAATCTGAGGCGATCCGCGATTTCATGCTTTAACAAAGAAACAAATTGCAACGGGCAACTCTTTTGGCCTTGGCATTCTCAGACAACATTTGTCGTACCTTGAGCACATAAGACATGTATCTCAAATCCTCTTCAGCGATTCGACGCATGGTGGCCTTACTTACCCCCAGTATGGACAATTTTCAAAGCAAAACCCCTGGATCTTCCGAAATAAACTTTTGAGCTTTGGATGATAATCGATGTCCTTGTAGTCTTTTCTCTCGAATGACTTTGCTTCATCAGGTTAACAGAACCTTCTTTGGATTTCTTCGCGTTTGCATACTTTTGCGCAATGTCGTAAATAGTCGCAGGTATCTGAAGAACCGAATCATTTTGTTTGGCGTACGTCCGTCACGAAACGCTTCAATTATCGCCACTTTTCAGTTGTACTCCACACTTGATCTCACTAACTCAGAAATGTTGAGATTATACATGTTTTATACAAACATCTAACTTATCCGAACGCTAACAATCATCTACTAAAGTCACATGTAACAGAAAATTCAAATTTAATTTTGTCCGGGTTTAGCTGACGCAATCTGTATATGACAAATATAAATATCAAATACCGACGCGGTATCACTTGACCGCATGAATGTTATTGCGTATATATTCGCTGCCAAATTCACAATGCTATATCATTAGTTTTATCCGGAGTTTTGAACTTTCGATAAAAATTACTTAACTAAAAGCGCAATCAAAAATCTAATAACACTTTTATTATATAATAGCAGCGCGATTTTTCTATTGCAACTAACTTGAATAAAACTGATGCAGTCAATCCCGAGATATCGAACTGTAAAAGGTACCATTTCAGATTTTCAGATTTTTTTCAAACACATGGATAAATCCATACATATATAGTGTTCCGTCCGTTAAGTTCTCACAATGTCCTCATATAACATTATATTAAATTAGCAAAAAACAAAAATGAATATTAATGAGCATACATGGACAATAATTATTTATGTGCACGGGACAGAGATAGATAGATAAAAGTGTTATCTAGAGCAAACCTTCTAAGAACATTTGGCAGATGAGTAAAATTATAAGATGAGAAGCGAATTAAAATAATGTCAAGAGAGAGAGAGAGAGAGAGAGAGAGAGAGAGAGAGAGGGAGGGGGAATAAGATAATAAAATAAAGTGAACATAAGATAATAAAATAAATAAATTTTTAATGCAAAATTGAAAATAAAAGAAACAATCACCAATACCCTTGATCTTAACAAATATTCAAATCATGACCCTTCAATAGATTTCAGCCATCGATCAGACAATATCTTAGACAATACTTTCTAATAATAACCCCATACTGCACAGAAACTTGCTTGCAGATAATTATATGATTGTTAATTATTTCCATTAGTTTTTTTATGTATTCGCACACTGGACGCGGAAACGCCGCGAGACAAGATGTGACGCGGTAATCAATGAATATGTTAGAAGTTGTAAGCTTATTGGTTATCGCATTGCATTTTGCTCGGTAAATGTTTCCACGTCCAGTGTGCGAGAGCCATTAGAAATTACAGTGTTTGTTGAAACATTTGTTGCCGCGCGACAAGATTTCTCAAACTTTATTCAACTCTCATAATTTTATGGGATATATGCATTTAAAAAGTTTTTTCAATGTGGTAAAGAAAATGAAATAGAATGCTTGGAATTTCTTATTATTTCCATTTCACTAGTTAAGAATATGTACAAAATAGGCATACCTGCATAAAGTGTAAAATATAGTATATTTACGAAAAAGTGTAAAATATGTATATGTCTACACATGTAAAATTTAAAAAATATATATATCAGCACATAAAATTTACAATTAATTGTAAAATATAATAATTATAATATAAAATATATTAGGTGTACAATTTTACTTCCGCCGTTTTTTTTTTCGAAATTCGAGGCTTTATTGTAAAAAACTGATTATACATTTATGATTCAAAGTATTGTCCATCGTTGGCCATTACTTTCTCCATCTTTCGGGCAGTGTACGATTCCCGCGTCAAAAAAACTGGTCATCTTTTGAGGCGATTCACGAATCGATCCAATTTTTTACTTCTTCATAAGACCGGAAGTGCTGGTCAGCCAGGTCATTGATC